CGCATAATATAGTAACGCTTTAGTCGCATTTTGTCCGGAAGGTGATAAAACAATACATTTTCGGTTGTTCGTCACTCATACGGTGATATTTGAAAGCGTTGCTTTACTCAGTAAAGTAACGCATCAGGAAAGAAAATGTGCCACCCCTACTTATTACTACTGGACATCAACAGCCAGCAACATTGTACATGGTACTTTGAGCCAAGAGTTTTCCTCACATATTTTGTTTTTCTTTCTTTTAGTTCTGGATGTAGACATGCTGAACTAAAAGTTCAGTTTTCTTTTGTCAAACGAGAAATGGTTGATCCAAAATAGTGAAATAAACGAATCAACAGTTAAAGAGTTAAGCGTCGCTCAGATCGATGTTGACCGTCATCTTGAAGACAGCAAGGTATTGTTAGCAAAACGAGAGAACAGCATTATATATACTGAATACATTTTGCAGCATCAAATATCCTGTGTTGTTCCAAATGTACCGCATTGTTATGCATGTCTAGTTGCCATAAAACAACTGATAACCATTACGCAAGATTTTGATTCATCGAATTATTCCAGGATAGAAGATCAAGAATTAAATAACAAAAAAAAGTCAGTGAAGAAACCAAAAATCGTCACAGATTTAATAAATAACAGTAAATCATCCATAACTTTAATATACGAATGTTCACAAATTACTACATCTGCAACTACAACACCTGGTTTGCGATCGAATCTAGTTGTAGCAGCTTTAATACGGATAACATTACTGTGATTTTAGTTCAACGCATGACGACCACGGAAAATTTATTCGATATACCTTACAATAGACCAAATGGTATTTAGTTCTATTTATTAAACTTTAATTTTAACAACTCGTTTACTTTGTTTTAGAACAATTTTTGGCTGAGACTGATTATAGGTTATATGATCATTTAGCAGCACAAGATAATACGAAATCTAAACGTAAGAGAAGTCAAGGAAAAACCGATTGTTGTTGGCTTCAAACGTTTTCAATGCAACAATCAGAACAATGTGTTACTACTATCCCACAATATCCTTCTGCTGATATACCATTAAATGCTTTTGTATGTTAGAAAAATTTTTTTTTACACATATTCAACTGATTTTAGGCTGACGAATCATCAGTGTTGATCTATAACCCTTATAGCTCGGTTGATAATACAACTCCGAGGTCCTCCGACATTTCGGTATTAGCATCTAATTCGTCAAAATAACACACTAAACGCTTTTACTCATTGTAGATGATGGATTTGAAGCAAGAAAGAAAAGACCACGCCGGATAAGTAACGAAATCTGCCACCCTTCCTACACGAAAACGACCCATATATTTCAATAGATTACATGACGAGGAACATTTTTTTATCTTCCTCACTATTTTTGTTCTGTACTATAGCGCCTCTGTATTTACTCAAAGCAGCAGCGGTAATTCTAACACATTGTTCTAGTTTCGGCACTAGTTGATTATCGATGCGTTCTGAAAGTAAACGGAATTTTTTGAGTCTTGCATGAAATGATTCGACGACCCATCTGACTTTTGTCACTAGCCTCGATTCGTTAGCTTCCTTGGTTGTGTGTTGGTTTTGACCTTTTTTAAGGTAGACTGGCATCTTGGGTTCATAGCCCAGTTCACTGAAAACGTCGACCACATCTCTAAAACCCCGATCGCAAATCATCACGTCGTCGTTTTCGCACCATCCTTCGAGTTCTTTTTTGGTAGAAACTATATAATCAGAAATACTAGCATCATTTTTATTTCCGTAAAATGGACCTCGAATATCAAGACAATAACCATCGGGCAAACACATTGACATGAACTTTAGCAGATGTCGATGTTTCTGACCAGAGTATGATGCTCTTTGAAATGAGTGATCGCTGCTTTTATTTATGTAGAAGTATGTGCCGTCCCAAATGATTGGAACCGTTTGACCAAAGAACACCGTGGAATAAGCCGTATTGTGATCAATTGCTTCATCCCTTGTTAAATGATGTACACCTAAAAAATAGGGAACTAACTTTTCGGACAAGATCACCATTACTGAATTAAAAGCTTCGGCTGCTATTTTTCGCCGAGTCTCGCCATCACCATGTATATTAAATAAAGAGCCGATTTGTCTAAACGATAAACTGGTTTTCATTTTGATCCAAAAGATGGCCATCGCATTTCTAACCTGTCGATTCGAAGAAGATCTTTCCGCTATATTAAACATATCATCGAACGGATCTTTTGCCCATCCCATCCACGCCTCATAATCCTCGTCCACCAGACCTGGGTCATTGAAATCGAGTCAGTGCCTGAGTAGCTTCTTGAATTAGCGATAAAACATCATCAAATAAAGTTACCAATTCTGCAGGTGGAACGCAGCTAGTCGCTTTTTCCTCGCCGCCTTCCTGGTCAGTTTCCATTGGTTCATCGTGCTTTTCTTGTGCTACTAATTTTTGACCTTCCTCTTTCCTGTCATCGTACCGAATGAAACACGATCCACAAAAATGGACACCTTGACCGAAGTTCAGAGTTTTACCTTCTGTTTCCAAAAGCTTATGACACCATAGATAAGTTTCCGAAGAAATATCTCGTTTTGCGTTCCATCGTCCGCAACCAGCACACTTTTTATCCGGCATTGTAGTACTTCTGAAGTGTTACTTAATCACTTACAAATTGACAGCGAGTTCTGAAAGGATCGTGAAAAAATTCAAGAGGCCCTAACGAGAACGATTGCGCTTCACGCTGCAACGAAAGTGAAAAGTGGTTAAACACAAGACAGAAGAAAATCGCTGTAAGAATGAATATCGAATGTCGATTTAAAGCTATAGTAGAATTTTGATTTGTATCTGTCGAAGAATGTCGTTTGAGAGAATCGAATCGCTTGGTGGGGGAGAACTGGGTTGATTCTCTTGATCGATGGCTCGAGTGGAACAAATAACACTTGTCAATCTGCTCAACTATCTCGTAGAACAGTCCTAAAGTCGTATTTTGTAAGTAAAAATCCAACCATTTGTGAAAAATACAATGTTTGTATAACTCATATTTGATCCGTTGGAATT